AGCCTCAGAAGAAGATATGGAGAAAGCAAGCATATTTGATATTGATCAGAGGAGCTACATATCAATATCTGATGCCAAGATCATGAAAATAAAAGAAGCATCTGAGGAGGATGAAACAATGAACTTGTTGAAACATGTCATCAAGTCAGGATGGCCAGATTGCAAGGATGAACTTACACATAAAGTTCAATGTTACTTTCCATTCAGAGATGAACTTGTCATCCAGAACGGCCTAATATTTAAAGGGGAGAGAGTTGTGATTCATGATAGTGTTCGCAAAGACATTATTGAGAGGGTTCACGAAACACATATTGGAATACAAAGATGCCTGTGAAGGGCTCGAGAGACAGTGTATTGGCCCAATATGAACAATGACATTGAGAATTTTATACAGCGCTGTGAGATTTGTAGTTCATGTCAGCCAGACCAGCCAGAGGAACCAATGATTTCACATGACATCCCAAAGAGACCTTGGGAAAGAGTTGGTTGTGACCTATTTGAGTTCGATGGAAATGACTACCTGATTTGTGCAGACTATTTCTCAGATTTTTTCGAAATAAACAAACTCCACGGCAAGACTGGTAAGGAAGTCATAAACAAAATGAAAGCCCAGATAGCATGTCGTGGCATTCCAGATGTCATTATATCTGATAATGGTCCGCCATTTAACACTGGAGAATTTAACGATTTTGATGAAAAGTACGAGTTTGAGCACTGAACATCATCTCCTCGTTACCCGCAATCAAATGGAAAAGCAGAAAACGCCAACAAGTTTGCTAAGGCCCTAAAGCGCAAATGTGTTCTTGACCAGGAAGATCCTTTCTTAGCACTTCTAGCCTGGAGAAATACGCCAAGTGAGACTATTGGACTTTCAGCTGCGGAAAGATTATTTGGCAGGAAAACCAGGACTAGACTTACACTATCCGCAAGACACTTGCAAACCCACAATTCAGGCGGGAACACCAGGAAGCTGTACAAGAGGAAAAGAAAAGAAGCTAGCTACTATAACCACGGCTCAAAGGAAACGCAGAAATTAAATACTGGAGACACTGTCCATTCGGGAGAGAGAAGTCGTGGACAAAAGCACAAGTTACATGTAGATACCAAGTGGATATCCGTTCTTATAAAGTCCGTACAGAAGATGGACGTGTAAATAGGAGGAATCGAAAACATCTACGGCTTAGCAGGGAACCATTTTCTAAAGAAGACATACCCAGAAACACCAGTTTGTTCCCTGATGTAAATAAAGACAATTTGGAGACTAGTGCGTCTACATCGACAAAGTGGAAACCCAAGTCCAGAATACATTACAAACACAGAACACACCGGTAGTTGAAAAAACTGTCACACCAGCCAAGATGGTCCTGCAACATCTGAAGTATCAGGCAAGCGACATACAAAGAGTGGACGCGAAATCAAAACTCCACAGAAATATCAAGACTTTGTATGCAATGTTGAGTGTTTTTTGTAGTGGAGGTAGATAGTGCTCAGGTCATAATACCTTGTCTACCTCAGGTTTCCAAAGAAATCTTCTAGTCATTTTACATATTGCTTGTAGTTGCATGACAGTTTAGTTTTGTTTGTACGTTTCTATATTTTATGAACCCAGCAATTATTTTGAAACATTCAATTTTGGACACCATAGACTATATGAGATATTGATAAAGTCAACGAAATGTATAAATTTCTCTCATTTGGAAAATGCCCGTTTTGTACATTCATAATTTTGAAAGAAAAAAAAGTAATCTTGAGAAAGGGGATGTGACGATATTATCTATCCTGTATTATGATCGGGTTTGATGTACACTATATGTTGTCTTTTGTTCAATAAACGTTACAGTACTGATATTTATAGCATGCATGTCTTAATGTGCTCTTGTTATTCATGCACTGACTCTTTCCTCTCAACTTTTGAAATTATTTTTACTTCTGTTAATTAATTATATAGATATTTTGTATGTACAAATTGATCAATACTCAAATGAGTAACCTTAGCCCTGCTGTTTTGCGGAAGATTTTTAAAGATAATTAATTATATAGATATTTTATATGTACAAATTGATCAATACTCAAATGAGTAACCTTAGCCCTGTTGTTCTGCGGAAGATATTTAAAGACTTTTATATTGAGTCTAGAATTTTCGGATGATTCGTGTTTTAAGTCCTATTCACAGGTTTGTATTGTTTGAAGATTTTTTTACTATCGTTATTTTCACCTTTTCATTCAAAAATTTAAAATATGTTTGTATAAATGACAGGCAGTCCAGGGCAAACAAGACATTTACAATCAATGCATCCAAACTAATGAGATTCCGAGGGTAGTGAATCAATATTCTGTGAATTTGCTTGTTAACTCGCAATGCTTGTAGACAATTTTGTGAACTGTGTTTCCATTCATATGACTTTTATATAAAGATCTCATTCCTTTCATAAGAAATTAAAGAGACTGTTCAATCAAACTTTATTGCTCTCTCATTTTATTTCATTGCAATTCAGATTCCTTTGTTTAAAAAAGAAAGAATCCTCATAACACTACTTTCTCGCCCCTTTTTAAATGCAGAATTTTACCTTTTCAAATCAGAACATTGTTATATTATAGCTAAAGTCTTCAAGCATAGTCTGTATAGATACTCATAAAAGATTTTTTTGGGAAAGAGTCTTTCAATATATACATTATATCGATTAAATAAAATCGTATACTTCACTGTAAAATCCCGGTTTCGCCATTACAGCTATGTAGGTCATTGAATTATTTGAATGAGAAGGCGGAGCGTCTATCAAGCGTGCGATTAGTATGAATACATTAGCGTGTGTTCAAGGTGTACTACAATGTAAGTTTTATTATTAACTGACACCTGAAAAGCCTTTTTCATGCTAGAGACCGACAAAATATAAGCATACATTTTTTTATTTGGCTGGCTTAAATTTGATTTATTTTTTGCTTAACTTACGAGTCGTATTTGAAATGATTTACTAGAAATTCGTTAAATTATTTATATATTAAATACAAAATGGAATTTGGAAACAGAACGTATAACGAAAGATACACTATTTTTCATACTTTACAGAAACCTTTTTTTTTTTTGAAAAAGAGATAATTAATCCATTTAAGCTTATTACGTACATAATTAGAAATTTTTCATACATGTATATAATTTTGCAAAATCCGAGTGCTACAACAAATACACGTAGGCGGTTGAATAATGATATAAAACTACACTCGGTGTATAAAAAATAGATAGTTAAGAAAGTGAAAATTTAAACGTCAATTAAACGTCAGTTTAAGGTCAAGGTCTAGTAAATGATGAATGCCTATAGATTTTCAAATTTGAGAAACAAATTCCTTGAATGATCTATTACAATTATAGCTAAATAAATTTAGGTGTATCGGAACATAATTTTTAGATTAACTCAACGAAAAACCTATTTAAGATTACCCTTTCAATGAAAAATGAAGAAAATCAGGTACAAAAATGGGAGTTTTCTCCATCCCAGACAAAGGAAATGTATCAATATTGCCTACAGTCTCTCAGAAAACGGGTTTTCATATCTTCTTGACCTCTTCTTTAAAATTATATTAAATTGAATATAGGTATCGGAGTTACTTTTGACATGATTTCAAATTGATTTCTATCAAAATGCATCATTTTCTACATAATTCTGTTACAGCCGTAAAGTACGGGAAAAAGAAAGTTTAAATCAATTATGACGTCATAATGTGTCTAGCACAAAAAAGACAGTCTAAACTCATTTACTAGATCTTGTCCTTAAGGTCAAGATTTAGTAAATGACTTTATACTAACTTTTTGGTGCTAGATCCATCATGACGTCATAATCAATTTCAACTTTCTTTTTCCCGTACGTTACAGCTCTAATAGAATTATGTACAAAATAAAGTATTTTAATGGAATTCAATTTGAAATCATGAGAAAAGTAACCCGAATATCTACATTCAATTTTATATTATTTTAAAGAAGAGGCAAAGAACATACAAAATTACCATTTTCGGAGAGACTGTAGGCAATCTGAATACATTTCTTTTGTCTAATATTGTTTTTAGTTTTTCATTGAAAATGACAGTTTAAAATATGATTTTTCGTCTTGTCTACCTACAAATTATGCCCCAAAACACCTTACTTGACCAAGCTAAACTTATAAAGCATCACTAAAGGAATTTATTTCTCAAATTTGAGAAATCTGTAGGCACATTTCATTTACTACATCTTGACCTTAACGTCAGTATCATCACTGGTGGATAAAGAGACATCCGTGTCAGTGTACTTTGTGCAGTCCAAATTGCATTGCTTCAAAAAATCCTGTTCATTCTTGCCAGACAAGTTTATATGATCTTCCTCATTTAGGAATTCATTAATTGCCGAAATCCATTTAACAAACTCTCTCCCTGTAGTAAGATAAATAATAAATCAGTCCGAGGTATTTTTAACGCCCTTTTTCATTCGACTGATTTTTTTTTACTAATATCTAGATCGGACATGTGAAAGGGTCATACAAATGCATGTTCTTGCTTTTAAACATTATGCGTTAAAAATACCTGCGAACATGGACTTTCTTTTACATGAGCTGGAAAAAAAAATGTGAAATTTTGTGCCGATGTAAAAAGTTATAGCATTTGCTTCAGAAGAAACCTGAAGCTTCCTTCTATTCAAATTAGGGGTGCTTTTTGTGCAAATGTATTCATCCAGTGACTTTTCATCAGCTCCGTACTTCAATTTCTTTCCATGAAGTAAACATACCCCTGCTATATTAATCACATAAATACCTAATTACAGCGCAAGCAAGTAAAAATTGAAATTGAAATTAATAAACTACAATGTTTGATGGTAAGATTGAGGCAAAATACAGTGTATGTAGAAAATCTTTAATTTAATTTTTTGTAAATTATCGGGGGGCCAGATTTGGACATTTAAACGATTCATCCTTTAAAAAAATAGTAATGTGCTTGATTAGTATGTTAAAATACTTGGAACTTTAATTTTTCAGAGGCTCGACAAAGAGGGCGTTTTGCAGGATTTTCTCTCTACTTGTCAGAGTCAGGAAAAAGAGACAATGATTCACTTTGTTACAAAAATGGACAGGATGTACCTCCATTGAATTTTACGACAACTTGCATCGGATACGGGCGTTATGTTTTCTTTTACAATGAACGATTGGACGGAGTTGATTATCCACCAGATTACAAAATGAGATCATTATCTATGTTATGCGAAGTGATAGTGAAAGGTAAATGACACGTTTTAAGCTTTTCTTTCTTTCATATACTGCCATTACATATTAAGTCATTATTCATTCGCTAACAATAAATCATCGAGTCTGTAGAGCGCTTGTATGAAATTGACAGAAAATTGGATTTTTGAAATATACGTTCACTTTTTCTAGTTTCCTTCTTGTATTATAAAAATAAAATTTATGTTCTTTTAAAGCAATACGAGCTGCATTTTTGTGAATTTTATTTTGTTGTAAAAATGTGCTGATATGATAAATCTATGTAATTTAAATTTTTATGATCATTAAGACTAATGTAAAGTATAAAAAAAAAAATCAGAAGAAAGACTTCTTTACAATGGATTGTACAGTTTTATATATTAAAAAAAACCAATACTGCACAGGACGACAATTTTGTAATTTTGCTTCAATCAAAGCATATAAATAGTTCTTCCATCGCAATTATAAACATAAGTTTATAAACCTTCTTTTCTCTGTCATTTTAAAAAGTTAATTACAATATTGCAAAAAAAATTTCCAACCCCAAAGTTTCAGCTTATATTGCTTTAAGAATTGCATGATTTATCTCGAAATACTCTATAAAAATTGAAATACAAACTTGGGATAAAACATTAAAATTTGTGTTGAATATATATATATATATATATATATATATATATATATATATATATATATATATATATATATATAAATTTTTTTATAATTTATGCAGAGGTAATAATAATAAACCTAAAGAAATTACATTGACGTGTAAAGCCTTTTTGCATACAATTCAATTATCCAATAAAAATTGTTTTTACTCTCATGATCAGAAAACCAAAAAAAAGTTAAAAGACCTTTTTTCTCCAATAGGATTCGCCCAGTTGTTAGTCAGCCAATGGGCTGACTAATTATCTTACGAAGATTTTCGAATTTGGTTGCATGCTTTAGAGTTCTGGGAAGAAGATTTTGTGTAATTCACTTCTGTTAATTTCGTTTCATTAAAATCAATATTATCTAAACACCGAAACACCTATTTTTAACTTCATATACCGCTAATCCATGGAATGACTTGAGTTTTTTCACGGTTTTTCAAAATTTGTACAGCATTGATTTTTTTAGGGTCAGTTTTAATTCCCTCTGAAGATATAACATGTCCAAGAAAACGGACTTCACTTTGAAAAAAATACACTTTGATTTTTTTTTAATTTTAACCCATGTTTCCGGATGATTCTAAACACAGTCTCTAGTCGCTTAAATTGTTCTGGAATTTCTTCTGAATATACAATAATATCATCCAAAACACTCGTAAAATGTTAAATATTTCATCTCTAAAGCAGTGTTGTGTTGCATTAATCTTTGAAACGTCGCCGGGGCATAATCCAAATTGCATACGAATATATTCATACGGACCCATTGGCGTTGCAACTGCTGTTTTTTGATATCATCTTCATGGACAGCTACTTGGTTATATCCACATGTAAGATCTATTGTCGAGAAAAATTTCGCACATAGAGCATCAAATGATTCTTCACTGGGTAGTGCATAAGCATCTTTGTGTGTTTTGCTGTTAAGTCTACGGTAGTCCACACATAAGCGAAGTGAATTATCTTTCTTTCTGACTAACACAATCGGTGATGCGTATTGACTAGTACTCTCCCTTATAATATTGTTGTTGAACAGTTTACGAATATGTGATTTCACTCCCTCGTATTGTGATGGCGGTATTCGTCTGTAGGGTTGTACTATAGGTTGATCGTCTGTCGTCCGAATAGTATGGTTTATGGCTGACGTATATCCTTTGTCATCAACGTTCTGTGAGGATACATCTCGATTTCTGTAGAATAGGGCGTGAATGTCTTTCATCTGTGCAGAATCTAAATTACGTAAGGGTTAATGTACGAGTAGCGCTCCATTCCATTAATAGAGCCGAGGCCCCGAACGGGGCCGAGGCCCATTGCTTTTAAGGAATAGAGCGCTACGAGTATATTAACCCGTCTAAAATCCACCTTTTTAAATGCTTGTAATTATTGTTTGTTAATATAAAATAAAGAATATTTCTATATACACTGTAAATATACATTTAAGGAGGCTCATTACACCCACATTTTATTTTAGATTTCATTACAGCACCACTTGTAATGTAGATGTCAAATATCCAAATGGAGGTTATGATATCATAAATATTTTAGTGAATTTTTAAACTTTTTTCTATTAAGTTAATTATTAATAGAATTGCAGAAATTTCAGTGTCAAGTGATGCACATCTTCTTTAGACATGTACACAAAATGACAATACTTCATAATATTTAATATTATTTTTTTTTAGAAAAATAGTTTTCTCCAAAAAAACAATGAATGCCATTTTCTTCCTAATTTGTGCTTCAATAATTTGGAAAATGAGTTCTAAAGAGACAATGAATGCATTTCAATGAATTACAGGTGGCAAATTGAATGAAGAATGTTATAACGAAATGAAAATTCCAATTCAAAAAATATTTGGAATAAAAAGTCCACTTGCAAGAGTTATCTTTCCTAATTGCCCAAGACTCAAACACAAAGGAACGTTTGAACATTACATCTAAAGTTCAGAATAAAGCTTTAAATTTCTCGAGTATATAATTAAAACAATAAAAACAAGTATATAAATCAACACGACTACAATAAATAGTGCAAGTATTTTTTTTTTTTTTTTATTTCAACAAGGTTGTAGAATTTAACTCGAATTTCCTCCATACATTCATGTTGTAGCTCACACCGTTTTCGCTATGACACTGTATATTACTTGTTTAGCGATGATATGGCTGTTGTTTTCTTTGGTTTCTACTTAAAAACAATTCTTCTTCGTGTATGCGTGATGAATCCGTTACATTGTTTTCACTGTTTACAACATCGCATGTTTAGTCTATTTTTAAAGCGTTCTAAAGATCTGGGTCAGATTATGAGGGAACCTGTACAATTCGTCCCCAGAAGAAAACGGACGAAACAATGGAGGTTTATTTTTTTGTGTAGTACGTCATCAAAAAGTGGTGTAATGAGCCTCCTTAACATATTACTAGTATTTATTTATATAGAAAAAGAAAGCGAGGCGAAAAAAGTGTAGTGAAGTTATTTATATCTGCTTTCATTCAACAGCTTCGATAGCGTAGTGAGATGAGTACTTGACTCCGAAGGTGAAAGTACCGGGTTCGATTCTCAACAGTGCCATATTTATTTTCTTTACGTGAAAATAAGCTTGTTAAATTTTTTTTTTCAGTTCTTTCTTCGGTAGAGGTACGGGGAGGAGAATGTGAATATAACAAATTCTGTTTTCGATTATTTCAAAACTCTCCATTCCTGAAAAATAATGGACCGCTCAAACATAGGAGTGACGTCACAGGTGGATTTTACCCCTTACTTCTGTCTTCAACTTTTCTATTTCCGGTTGAATTTTGAAATAACTTTCCCTTCATCTGACTTTGTGGTTTCATTGCACATAAATTTTTGTTGAACGAAAATCTCTTCAGTATTTCCTTTTCAAGTGAATTCAATGTTAGATGAATTTTCAAGTACATCACCATTAACAAGGACTGCAACTCTTGTTCTGGGTGCTAACCACACATCGTCAGAACCAATATTTGCGATACGAAAACACAAAAATCCACAGTTCACTTTGTTAAGGGTTCGAACGACTATAATGTTTCATGAGAAGTGTTGATTAGATGTTAAAGGTTCTACCTTGGCTTCATAAAAATCTTGGTATCTTTGGTCCTGTACCGTTGATAACAGTAACTCATTTTCCCGGAATGCGTACTGGAGACTGACTTCGCACACACTTTAACATATCCTATAACATCACGTTTCATATTTCTGCCACACGCTTTGATTTGTTCTTTTAATTTGTAATTTGCTGATATTTCTTCAACTTTTTATGTGTATTCTGTTCCATGTTGCGTTCCCAATAATTTCTTACGCAGTGAAAGAGTGTTCGTTCCCAGAATGGCCGAGATGTTTTCTTAACGCTGACGTGTTTCTAAATCAACGGAATTTTTCACAACCAATACACCCAATTGCAGTCGCCCGCGTGGCGCAGTGGTTAGAGCGATCGCTCTAGAGTCGCGAAGTAAGGAGTTGATCCTTACGTCGCGGGTTCGAATCCCACTGTGGTACGTGGAAACCGGTCTTTCGGACGAGACCGTATAAACCGAGGTCCCGCGTCGCAGTAGGTGCTGGCACGAAAAAGATCCCTCACTGATCAATAGCCCTGAGTGCCGATTACAAGACAAAAAATTTGCAGCTCTCCACCGGCAAGTGGTGGCGTCGTCCCTATGAATGAAAAATTCTCGAGAGGGACGTTAAAACAATAAACAAACAAACACACCCACTTGCTGTAACTGTTGACCCATGTCCTCAATATATCCAATAAACGGTATAGAAAGTCTGTGAGATGCTTTCAAAGAGAACACAATGTCTGAATTGAATTTGGTTGCTGACTTCAGATGTTTCTCATAAAAAGATTCTATCACTGTAGAAACTAATGATCCAGTATCAACTAAACAATTAAAACTAACACCATCATTGTCACAAAAATTGAAGGACATTTACCAACTAAGCGTGTGTTCATTCTGCACGAGTCCGTTTCACTCCCCTCTAAAACAGGACTCGACATTAGGAAGTGCTTTTGTTTTCCTATTCAAAATGCGTAGAATCTGGTTTTAATTTTGTTGGATAATCTGCAGCTTTGTGTCCCTGCTTTTTGCATAGGAAGTATGTAAGTAGTCGTTCATAATTATACCAGTCAGTTTCACAATATTTTTGTGTTGAATTCACATCTTTTGTTAAATTCTCAATCAGACATGATTTTTTCTTCAATATTTTGGTAAGTTCCTCGACTTTGTTTTCACTTTCCGTTTGCTTCGGTATTTTTTCTGTGAATACTTAAGTTTTCTTTTCACTCTCAGATTTTGGAGTTTTTTCGGTTGATTTTTTCTCAGGTGATTCTTGTAACGAGGCTTCGCCATGTTCTTCACCTTCTAATC